GCCATCGCCTTACTGTTCTACTCGATGCTTGGCAGTTGAGTGTTGATACCTAGCACAATGACATTGGGATAACTGATCACTTTTGAACCAAATGCCAAAAAGAAATGAGTTTCACTGGTGGCTCATCATTTGGTGATGTGATACACCTATAGACATCCGGGAAGTTCATTTGGCTATTTTCCCTTTTTGTCGGAGATGGACTTCTTGAAGCAGTTAAGGATCGTCTAATGGGATGTTTTGGCCTGCCCATTGCCTTGAGGATATCTTGGCGTGGACATGTGCTGCTTGATGCCATACTTTTGGAAGAACTTTGCCAAATTTTTTCCTACGAATTACGGGGCGTTATTTGTGACGATGGATTGAGGGATGCCAAATCGGCAAATGATGTTCCTCCATATGAAACGCTTTATGTCCTTTTATGTCATGGTAGTCATGGGCTCTGCTTTTACCCATTAGGTGAAGTAATTGGTTATCACAATCGTCATGCCTTTGCCCCTAGTAGCGGGCAACATTGGTCATACCAGGTCGATTTCCCATTGCGTGAACGACCAAGGACTTGTCTGCGGGTGTAATTTGCTGGCAGACAGTGCTGATATCGACTTATAGTGTTGGCAGCGATCGTACTTTTGAACTAACTCTTTAGCGTCTTGGTGCATGGTATGCCAGTAGTAGCCTACGTTTAAAGCCTTCTGTGTTAAGGATTGGCTTCCGGAGTGATTTCCAAAAATGCCTTCATGGATTGAGCTTAGAACCTTTAAGTCGTCGGGAGATGCTAAACAGCGGAGATGTGGTCCAATGTAGGATCTTCATATGAGAATGTCGTTCCACATGTAATAGCGCGCTGCCTTTGTTTGGAGCTTTCTAGACTCCAATATTTCCATGGGGAGTGTGTCATTAACCAGGTAGTCTATAATAGAATCTTGCCAGTTTGGAATTGTATTAGCTTGTGACACCTCGGCTGCTGGCTCCGCCTCTATACTTGGCTTGTCTAGATATTCCACCTCTAGTTTGCTGCCTTTAGCGGTTAAAGGATGAGCCTAGGCCAACTAGTGCGTCCATGTGAATGTTGTCTACCCGTGGAACTTGAGTAAGGGTGTAAGTTTGAAACGCCTCAAGTAGTCTGGCTAGTGATTGGCTGGGAATCAGAATGAATTGCGAGCTTTTTCACCGCCAAATCTTTTACCATTTAGATGCCTGCTAGTAGGGCCTCACACTTTGCTTCGTTGTTGGATGTTTTGAAGCCTAAAGTGATCGCATGCTTAAGCATCGAACCGTCTGGGGTGACAAGGACCATGCATGCTCCTTAACCTTTGTAGTTGGATGCGCCGTCGACATGTAAATGCTAGAGGTCTCCATCGAGTGGAGCAGGCACGGCTAGAGCGTGCTCGGCTACCTCCGGGGCATTGTTAAGTCGTTTTTTTGCGTCTCCTAAACTAGGTGTGAAGGAACAATAGGGAGTCGTGAAGCTGTCGTTGGGTCACCATGTTGCGTTGTGAATGCATGGTAGGGAGCCTTGGAGCTGGGGCCATGTTAAACGTAATAAGAGATGCTCAACTACCAGTATTGAGTCACTCTATAGTTGAATTATGGAGTAAGGGTCAGCGAGGGTTGTGTGACACGTAGCAGAAGGTGGTGTTTAACTACCGGTACATGTTTCTCCTATGTAGAATCTTTTGGGGTAATGAGGGCAAAACTTGATTCCAAGTGAGTCATTCTAGTGTTCGTCTGCCATTGGGGCGTCTTTTGGGTCGAGTTGTTACGTTCGTCAGAAAATTTTGCATCCGCCAATGTCTACGCCTTTATCGACACGCGTCTGGATTGGGCGAAATAGTGCTTCATGAAGATGACTGCATGTGTCTGAAAGTAAAACTTAAGCTTCCAGGTTGCAACAACTATCGCCAAAGTTAGCTTTTGAATTTCTGGTAGCATTGAGAAGAGTGTTTGAATTGTGGAATATAGGTAGTCGGGCCCCCAATTCTTCTCGTATGATGGTAGAGCTTATTGCTGCTTCAGATACCATCAAACATGCGAATAGATTATTCGTCGCTTCAGGTTTGGATAGTAGAGAAGTGATGTCATGTTCTATTTCAAGTCTTTGCATCTGGATCGGCGAGCCTCGTCCCAAATGCATGGTTCTTTGTCAAAGAGAAAGAGTTTGCCAGAGTTAAATCTTCTTTTATCATCAATTTTCTAAACAACAGGTGGTCTGCTGAAAGTCATTTTTGGAAGGTTGCTCTAGTTATCTAGTCGTTGCATCCGACTATCTTTGCCTTCTCTGCTTTGAACCTTTTCACATAGTCATGAAGTGACTCATTTGGGTTCTTTTGACGTTGAACAAGTGGTCGGACTTTTTCTTGATCGAGTGATATGATGAATATTCTTTGGTAAAAACCAAAGAAAATTCGTCCAAACTCCATATGGATTGTGGCGGCAGGGTGTAGAACTAATCTTTTACCTTGCCTTGTAGAATGATGGCGAACATCTTGCATATGAGATCGTTGTTGTTTCGATAGATGATCATTGCATTTTGGTAGTGCTTTAGGTGTCTCTCCGGGTCTCCATCCTCTTTGAAGGATGTGAAATGTGGCATGTTGAACTTGAATAGAGGCTCTGCCTGCTCAATCTCGTCAATGAAGGGTGACCTACTTATGTTGGTCATGTCTCATCGTGGTGCCTCATTAATGACCTTGTTACCTTGGAAATCGCGCAATCGCTCAGTCATGAGCATTTCTACTTCTTCCTAAATTTTCTTTTATTGGGGGTAACAGAGCTCTCGGTTGGCCCCAGTCGTGACCTACTGGTCTAGGATGCTCTTCTACGTACTTGACTCGTCTATGTCGCGGCTGCGATGCATGTGGTTCGTTTCTAGCAGGCGAGGGAATTCTTCGCAGGCTATTAGTTGAGTTTAAGCCAGACTGAGTGATTGATTCTCTCTGTCCTTCGTGCTGCCTACTCTGATGTGAGGTGGATGATGCTCTTTGCGGGCCTAGCTTCGAATGAACACTTCACTTGGAAGGTTGCTTATGTTGACTATCAAAGTGTGGCCTTAACAGTGAATATATGCTCGTTTGTGGCCCTATTCGAGAGTGCATGCTCCTCCGCGTGTTAAGACGGGAGTATACGCTATCTTGGGGGCCCAATCGGGAGTGTACATTGCTCGAACGCTCAGTTCGTGGCTGGTCGAGTGGCTACTTGCAGGGACGCTACTGGAGAAGTTCTTTGTCTACCATTGTCTTACTTCAGGACACCTCCTTTGGGGCACGTTGCATCTCGGTACGCTGCAATAGTTGATTCACCAAGGTCATCTGATGTGCGAAGGTGCTCGTTAATTATATGACTTGTCGAGACAAGTGTTGTTCCTTATTTAGGTTGGAAGAGCTTGGAATGAATATGTCTCCTTGAGCAGTGGAAGTGTGGTAGACTCCGGGTGCGAGATTTAAGTTGAGAAATGGCAAATCCGCGGAGAAATGTGGTGAAAAATGCCCCCAATTTTATTGTAAGCCCATAAATTTGAAGCCAGGACGGTTGAACTAATCTTGGACCGATTTGGGCTACTTGGAAGGCCACGGGAGCAGGCTGGGCCACATGAGCAGGTTGAGCTACGGGAGCAGGTTGGGCCATGAGAGTGGGCTGGGTAATGGGAGGGGAGCAGACTGGGCCACGGGAGTGAGTTGCTCGACGTGTGGCGCACGCGGGTGTGAAGCTTGGGCTCAGCTTGGCAACGTGTTGGGCTTGCGTTGGGTTTAGACGGCACGGGCTGGCTCAGCTAAGGCTTGGGCCCTTGAAGGTTGAAATGGCACGGCTTAGGTCGTGGCCTTAGAGCCTTGGGTTTTGCCAAAGGTGGCTGCCGTGGTGGTGCCTCGTGGGGGTGCCGTTCTGCTTATCGTTATGTTATGCCTTGTAGATCGCCGTGGTCATAATCCTTGAACGTTGGAATTTCCGTTTGTCGAGGTTTCCGAATCTCTTGCCATTGTACTTTTGTTTTACGTTTTAGTAAAGAATTTTTAGAAATAAAAATTCCAAGAATAAGAATGTATGAAAAATCTACAAATAAGCAAAGAAACAAAAAACCTTAGATGCGAGAGTCTTTTACAAGCGTGTGACTCAACTCTCAATGAAAGTACAAATTTGTGGATGCAAATTTATTCCTCCTTGTTATTGGACAAAATTGTACCTACAAAACAAATAACACCTTCGGTCAAGGCCAAGAGCCTCACACGCCCACGATGAATGAAGAGGGCTTTGGCCGAAGAACCTTCGATGCCAAAGTTAGAATTTTGAGGGAAAAATGTTTGGAGAATTTAGCAAGAGTGTAAAACTTAGGTTTTGGAGAAAATGAGGGTGTTTATATATGGATGTGGCCGGTCCCTTTGGGAGGAGATAGACCGACCGCTTGGATGATTTTTTGGGTGAGATCCATGATTTGTAGCTAATTAATAAATTAATTGAATAATAAATCAATTAATTAGCTAATTAATATAATTTGAAATGAAAGATTTGGTGGTTACCTTGTGGAGAATATTTGATGAGGATGGATGAAATATGTTTTAAATAAATACCTATTTTGGGCACTTTTGACTTGATTGAGGGATGGTTGTCCCCTGCTCGCGCGTAGGAGTTCTTGTGTTCCTCGAGGGTGGTTTTGTCCTTTTTACCCTACAATCCACGTGTCACCTCCATATTCTTCTTGATTATTTTTGGCTCCACAACGCGCAATAGTAATGACTGTGCAGTCAGTAAAGTGTTGTCGAATGGCCTGCTAGATCAGATGTGGGGTGTATGTACAAAATATAAGGTGTATATTGAGAATGTGGGGTGTAAGGATATTATGGGAAATTATGTAAGGTGTATTAAGATAATTTTTAAGTGAAAAAGCAAATATATGGTGTATTAAGTATGTGAAGTTTATTCAACAATTTATGGGATATTAATATAATAAACCTTTTTTTCATTCAAAAAATAAATAAAAAACATCGTCTCGGTTTTTTTCGGTCGTGAACATGTATTTACTCGTACTTCATCGTATAAATGCTCCTTCATCTGCCGTTGCTATCCATGATCATGACAATTCTGCACGTCAAGGCAAAACATGCATAGTGCGGTCTAGTGCAGATTCCATTAACATCGATCGCATATATATATGCATGGTGTGTGTATGTATATGCCCCAACGGTGTGGAAAAAAAGATGTCGGGTGGATGGACCACTGGCCTGCTTGACTGCTTCAGTGACTGCAGTGTCTGTAAGCGCAGCTTCTATTCTCTTCCCTTCCTGGCTAGCTAACTAAATCAATTATACCATGTTTACTTATTTGGTATATGAATATATATCGATTGATGATTTGATCATACAAACCCTAAACCTATATATAACGTAATTTGGACTGCAGGCTGCTTGGGATTTTGGTGTCCTTGCGTTGTTGCTGGGCGTGTTGCAGAGATTGTCTCCAAAGGACAAACCAGTAATGTTTCTTTTAAGAACCCAGTAACTCGATATCTAAACTTGGATAATTATAAAATTTTCAATATTTTCATAATAGAAGCACGTACTTATAACTCTTAACATGAGCGCTTCATACGGAAACAGCCCAAGACGTGCGTTAAATTAAGTGATTAAAATTTGACGATGATGTTGAAATTGGAAGTGAACAAAATGTGCATGCGTATGCAGGTTGTTTTTGGCATGGATGTTTATATGCAGCAATTAATTACTATACTAACTTAGCATGCTGCATTACTTGCGGCTATCGAACCCAACTGAGGGGGCAGTACATGTTGGAGGAAAAACCTTGCAACGATTGCTGCGTTCATTTCTTCTGCAACTCCTGTGCCTTGTGCCAAGAATACCGTGAGCTCCAGAACCGTGGTTTCGATGTTGCCAGTGGTACGTGCATGCGCTGTTCCCTCCCTCCAATATAATTACTTAGATAGAACGTCTCGTTGCACCTCCTTATCCACTCTAGTTAGATCAACCGATATGTGTTATACACGTGTAATTATCTTAAAAAAGTATTATTTGAAGATCATTCCTAATTAATTAATTAATTTCAATGAATGTTAGGGTGGAAAGGAAATGCGTCCCAGAATCGTGGAGTGGTGACAGCACCAGCTCTGCAGGGTGGCATGAATCGTCATTCTGATCACAAATAATAATGCTGTTGGCTTGATGGTGGCATGGAAATCATACCATCTGGAATAAAAGAATTCGTTTTCGTTTTTTGTTTGCTGTCTCTTTGAATAAAAGAGTTCGTTTTCGTCTGAATTTTTCATCAGAATAAGGTTCTTTTGAGTTTGAGGTTTGTCTCTGTCTGTTGAGTTTCGGTATGAACGTTTTGAAGACTTTTTGTGTTCAATTGTTTATTGTGGGCTTGTTTTGTCATTGTATTCAACCAAGTTGGCCTTTTATGTTTTATTGAAGTCACTTTAGATTGTGGACCTTCGTTTATTAAAATATTATTTTTAATATTTGTATAAGTTCTTAATATTATAATAAAGTCACTATTGTGTCGCTAATTTTTTTCTTTCTTTCTATTTGAGTTCGGTTATTATATTGATGTTCGATGGCTTTGTGGATTTGGGTGTCTATAAAAGAACAAATTTTTAGTTGTTTTTTAAATACAGTTTGGACATAAAAGGAACAAAATCATCATCCGACTTACCAATTTGGGTGTCTATAAGATACCGTTTGGTACGCAGACGGGACGAAACGGGACTGGATGGGACGGAACGGAACGGGATGGAACGGAACAAAGATTTCGTGTCATGTTTGGTACTAGCAAGATGGAACAGAACGGAACGGGATTAAATGACTAACTTGCCCTTTTTATTTGACTCTCCCTCTCTCTCCCGTTTCTCTGCTTTCTCTTCTTCCATACGTTTCGTGTTCTTCGCATGCCCAGATTGATCCCAGTAAAAATCAATCTCAGTAAATCAAACCCATAAAAATCAATCCACAGAAGATCTGAATCTCGAAAGTTCGTATTCAAACAACCATTTTTACTGTAAAACTTACAAAATTAAACTAAAAAAAGTGAAATTGAACAAAATGCCCCGTTCTTAGCCTCCACCGGATGCTCCTCATCGATGTGGCAGCAAAGCCCAACGACATAAAAGAGCAAATGGGGGCAATCCTGCTCTGCAATCTGCACAAGAAGAAGTTAGGGTTATGAAATCGTAGAAATTGGGAATTGAAATCGACGAGGGAGGGGTAGAGTTGCACGAGTTTCTTGAGGTTTTGGGCGATGTCTTGGTGGACAATTGTCTGGTCTAGGGTTTTGGGTCGGTACTTGTCTACCCACAACACCATCTTCTTCAGTCTTCACTGCCGTCACTGGATCGCGATTGGTACCGCCTCGACGAGGAGGTCGGAGTGTCGAAGAAGAAGGTGGAGCGCGGAGGTGACGGCGCCAGAGAAGAAGGTTGAGCGCGGAGGTGACGGCGCCGGAGAAGAAGATAGAGCGCGAAGGGACTGAACCGGAAGCCATGGTTTGGGTTCAGATGGGTTTGCTGGGATCGAATTCGAAGAGAGGGAGGCTACGGGAGAGAGGAACGAATTCGAAGAGATGGAGGCTACGGGAGAGAAAGCAAGGGTAGACAGTGGAATTAATGAAAAAGATGAGGGGTATTGTTGTCCAAAAAATTATAAATTTGTGTTCTACGGGATGGAACAACCCGTTCCAGGGGGTATATGGAACCAAAATTTAACCCATTTTCGTTCCGTGGGACAGGCGTTCCACACAATTTAAGCGCACCAAACGTGGGACGGAACGCGTCCGTCCCACTCTGTTCCGTCTCGTCCCACGTACCAAACGCACCCTAAAGGAACACATTTGGGTGTCTATGTAATAAATGGATGTAAATAACACTTCTTGAGTTTGGCATTCCAATGTCCCCATTTTGTTAACTTGAACAAAGTTTTAAGACTTTACATGAATGTTGCATATAATGTAAACATTAAACTGTGCTTTTTACCGCATCTTGTCAAGACTTTCTACTTGAACAAAATTCAAAATCCCACAGCAATACACGAATACGCCTACTAGTAATTTTTAAAAGCTCTTTTCCACCTCTTGCAGATCCATCTTTTTTTAGTTATTAGTTTGAATAAATTTAATAAAAAATAAAATAAAAAAAGCTATGCAAAAAGTGAAAATAGATGTTCAAAAACCAATCCACGAAAAAAATTGATCATATAAAAGGGCCCTTTTCACAGGCTTTTCCATGGGCCTTAAAAAACTTTAGCCCAGCCTTGTAAGGAAGGAAGCATACAGGAAGACTCGCAGACGGAGGAGACTTGAAGTCAAGTCAACGCGGCGTTGGACCGTTCTTCGGTTGTAGAATAAATCAAAGCTTGTCCAAGTCTTCTCTCTCAGTCTGTCTGAGATCATATTATCTCAACCTCCTCATCGTTCCCCACCTATCTTCGGCCATCATGTACTCGTCACACCCAAGGGGATACGAGAAGTACTCCTCGTCCGACCCCCAGCACCACCACCATCACCACCAAGATGCTCCGCCGGCGCCGACAGGTATCCCGGTCAGCTCCAGCACCGAACCTTATTTTACTACTTCTAACGAAGACATGAGCTCCCACAGTGGCCACTCCCACATGACCCACCCCCCATCCCGTCTCCGCCCCTCGTGCTCTCATCCCTTGGTCAACCGGCCTCTGCGACTGCTTCTCCGATTTCAGAAACTGTAAGTATATATATAAATATATATGTGTGTATCCTACTACTATATATAAATATATATATATATATATATGTGTGTGTGTGTGATTAATCTGTTAAAGTGATTTATAATGGGGTTTGATTTGGATGAAATATTGGTCATTTACTCGTGAATTAATGATTCATGTTATTGTATATGTCTACATGCAGGTTGCATAACACTTTGGTGTCCATGCATCACCTTTGGCCAAATTGCAGAGATTGTGGATAAGGGTTCAACATGTAATTAACTAATTAAGCTTCTTCCTTTCCTTTTCCTTCTTTCTAAATGGGATTAAGGTGTATTATTAACTGATTAATGAGGGTTAACTAATTAGTTAACGAAATGATATGCAGCTTGTGGTGCCAGTGGAGCGCTGTACACACTGATTACTTGTGTGACAGCTTGTCCATGCTGCTATTCCTGCTTCTACCGCTCCAAAATGAGACAGCAAATTTAAATATTAACCCAAACAAAATCACTATTATTTAAAAAAATAATAAATAAAAAACTGTGCAAAACATGAAAATAGATATTCAAAAATCACTCGACGAAAAGGGACTGGGATCACCTCCAGATCCCAGCCTCCGAAGCAAACTAAGCAAGACATCCCATCCTTCCATTTTTGATCCTGTGGCTAGAAATAAATTTAAATATTGAACAATTCTCACGCAAAACAAGGCAAGATGAAAATGGAAGGATAGAATGTT